GCTAATGTCAGCAAAACTCGCCTCTACGAGGTAGGGTCACCCTACCTTCCAGATAGGTTAGCCCTACCACTAGGGGCACCCTACCTCACATGTTAACAGACGGCATATTTACAATAGAGAAGGGTTACCCTACTACCTAGGGTAATTCTACTAGGTAGGGGCACCCTCCCTCATGTAAATAGGCCCTAAATTTCAAAAACTAACAACTCTTTTTTCCCTGCCGAACATTTGAAAGGTTTTTCTCACGAGAGCCAGTAGAAAAACAGAACATTTTACGAGAACCAATCAGGTTGAAGAAATCGTCATTTGGTTTTCTTTTTTTTTTCGTTAGCGCGAGCCAAGGTCGCTCGTCTTCCTGAAAAACTTTGTAAAAAGCTAAATAAAGGTTATTTTCTTTTTCATTTTCGGTCGTATAATAAATAATTTATTACACAGAAAGGATTGTGTAATACGGGTGAGTCAAAATASAAAATGACGAGTAAAAATGCACACCCGTATTACACGACTTTCTGTGTAATAACCTCTTTTTATTGTACAGTTATTGAACACTGCACCAGGAAGCACTGAACTAGGAGCAATGAGCTACTTGGTGGATTAGARCTTTGCAAGGGCAAAAGCCGGYACTGGGTACGCTCGTTTCCTTCACTTCGTTTGCTGATGATCAGCGACATTCTTCTTTGCTGTTCTTCTGATGCTTCGGATGCTTTGCACTTCAAGAATGTCTCGAGAGTCTTTGGCAACGTCGAGACGCCATCTTTGGAAAATATTGAGGTCAGACGCCGTCTTTTTCACTGTGTTTTTGTTTTTGTTTTCTTGTATATAAATTCATCCATCTCGCCAGCATCCAATTTTGTTGGCTGCTGTTGTGGTTGTGGTTCTGTGTTCTCGTTAATTTTTCCATCAAGTGTGAAATTTGGAAGGTCTTCATCCGAAAAATCTATGTCGCATACAAGGTTTTTAAAAGCGTAGTCGTCCATTTTTTTCCAGCAAAACAAACTAGCTCGCTCGCGTATGTGTACGCGTGAACAC